TTTGTAGTATTTATATAGCTTACGTGTTTGTCCTTAGACAATTCCTATACATCCCTAGTTCCTGTTGAAAAGGAGTGTCATGGTGTCCGGGTTCCTACTACATGGCTACAATTCCTTGGTCACAGATGATAAGATTTGAACACCTAACTCAGACAGACAGACAGAACACTGACTGAATTTAGGTACGCTTGCACAGCTATTTTCTTCTGTCTCTTGAGAATATGAACTAAAAGGCATTGGCTGTGGACAGATTATTGGTGTTTTATTTGAAAATGAATCTACAAAGGGTTGAGATATGTATGCTGGGCCATGTGCAAGCAGAGCAGTCATTTTGGAGAAAATGGGCATAGACAAGAAGAGACGATGTCAATCATAAAGCCTTTGGGTGAAGGACTGAACGACCTAGTTCCTGACCACCTAGATTATTGCCACCCTCCTGTGCTTCAGCTCTACATCATTTCTTACCCTTGCAGTCCTGAAACCACTTGTTGCTCTAGTAGACTTAGGCTGTCATGACCAGATTTTGTTATTTATGATCAATGATCCTTTAAGATAACATCTCTTCCAAAAGTCAGATTTACTTCTAGCAACTATTCAGATTTTTCCAAGATGTCTTAAGTAAAAACACTGGAGGGTTTATGCCAGATATCATTCAACTAAGTCAATTTATAACAATTCAATGATCGTGTAAATTTCTATATAAATCATGCAGAATACAACCCTGAATTTAACTAATTGCTGCTAACTTGTTAATAAATAACATTAACTAACTTGGGAAATAGAGGTGTTGGTGGAAATTTTATCTCCGTCTCCATAAGTAAGAAAGAGAACCATTTTTGTTTAGTACAGAATGAGACCCACTTATTTATCCTTACTTCTGCATTCTCATCTTCCTAAATATTCACTAAGCAAATTGTGGCTTGCATGCGTGTTAAGGCAAAGAAAAAAGCTGTGCAAGTACCTTCATTTTAATTTTAGAAACACATGAGGAATATTAATTATGTGTAAAATGGGGACTATCCTATCTGTGTTCTCTCCCTCATTCTTTGCTATGTCATACTTTTTTCACCTTCTACATATTTTATTCACAGAATTTGCTTCCCTATCTCTATTAATCTCCTTGACACAACTGAATGTCAATGCAAGGAAGATGGGGTTGCTTGGGAAGTAGAACCTCCTAAAGCAATTATAGCCACCATGGCTCTCTATTTGAAAGGCACTGAGGATTGACTGAGTAGCTTCAATTGTTTCTGGGCCTATTAGAACGTAAAGGGTACTTAACTACCTGAAATCTGAAAAAAATTTGGTACATACTAAGACCCAGTATTTTTAAACATCAACTCAATCCATCCAAGGGTCTCTACTTGTAATATTCTGAATTACATTTGAATTATTCCTATAATGCATTTTTAATATTTACTATGAAAAATAATGAGTTTACTTACCCTCCACTTACTATTCCCTCTCTATTCCAGAATTTCTTCATTTTATTCCTTTTAAGAGCAATGATGGCACTTAAAATAAGGTAGAAAAATGTAGAAACTGATCGAGAGGCCATTTTCTCAAGGAGCAGCATGTCATTTTACAAACAAGTGTGTAATTTTAGCTGAAAACGTGAGATTACCTTGTAGCTGTTTCAAAAATGGTATTTAAGCTTATTAGTAGTTTGAAATTATAACAATTTTGAATTCAATTAATACAGTTATGGAACAAATAAACTTAAATTTAAAAGTGTTTTCAATATTCTGTGACTATTCCCCAAAGTGCATTATATATTTATGTCAACTCAGTCAATATAAATATATAACTCATTGATATGGTTTATTTTTAATCTTCATATGCATATTTCATCTTTATTTATGTGCTGTATTCTATTTTATTCTATTATATTCCCTTCTATGAATTGCTGCTTATAATACATTAAATTTACATTACCTGATAAGTTTTCCCATTTAAAATATAGAGCTATAGAAACGTGATCCAATCAAACAAAAGAAATAAACCAGACGAGTCAAATACAAAAAACGAAATCAAGCAATCAGAATTACCACCAAAGCAACTACGATGATATTAAATGCAAGTGAATTTAATGCCCCTGAAAAAAGACAAAAAAGTCGGTAACTTTAAAACACACACAATTCAATTATATGTTGATTAGAAGTGATTTACCTAAAAGAAAGTGATTCAGGATGTTTTATGTATTATGGGAAATAAATTGGCGAACATAGTCCTGTGCCACATAATGAAGTTTCAGTCAATGACAGACTGCATTTACGATGGTGGTCCCATAAGATTAGTACCATATGGCCTAGGTGTGCAGTAGGCTGTACCATCTAGGTTTGTATAAGTGCACTCTATGATGTTCACACAATGACAAAATTGCCCAATGACACATTTCTCAGAATGTGTCCCCATCATTAAGCGACACATGACTGTACTAGTTTGAGCATGCTGGAAAAAAGAGCACCAAGACGATCTCGATTTCTCCATGTCCTCACTAGCACATTTGGCCTGTATTTTTTATTACAATCCCAATCAGTGCAAAGTAATATTTGCATTTTCCTAAGATGTTGAGCATCTTTTGAGGGTCTTATTAGCCATTTGTATATCTTCTATGGAGATGTGTTCATTTAAACCCCTTTCCATACTTAATTGGGTTATTTGTCTTTTTATTAGGAACTTGTGTTTTTTATATATTCTGGACACAAGTCCCATAAGAGATAAAAGATTTGCAAATATTTTCTCCCATTCTGTAGTTTGTCTTTCACTTTCTTGATGGTATCATTTGCAGCACAAAAGTCCTTAAGTTTGATGAAGTTCCATCAATCTATTGTTCTTCCCCTCACGTGTCCTTTGGTGTTTTCTATAACATAGCCTATGCCAAGGTCACAGAGATTTCCTTATATGTGTTCTAAGTGTTTTGTAAGTTTAGCTCTTATATTTATTATCTATGATCCATTTTCAGTTAATGCTTGTGAATGTTATGACGTAGCAGCTAACGTCTTTCTTTTGCATGTGGCTACGTACTTGTCCCAACACCATTTGTTGAAAAGACCGTCTTTCCCCCCATGGCATCCTTGTCAAAAATCAAAGACTGCAAATATAAGGCTTTATTTCTGGACTCTCTATTCTATTCCATTGAACTGCACAGCTATCCTTATCCTTAGGACAGTACCACACTGTCTTGACTATTTTAGTTTTGTAATATATTTTGGAATTGAGAAGTGGGTTTTCAGTTTCAAGTTTTCTGGAAAACTATGTTTTCAAGATTGTTTTTACTATTCTGTGCCCCTTGAATTTATGTATGACTTTTAGGATCAGCTTGTCAATTTCTGCAAAAAAGACAGCTTTGGTTTGTTAAGGATTTTGTTGCATTTACAGATCAATTTTGGGAGTTTTCCTATATTAACAATATGGAGTCTTCCAATACATGAACATGAAATCTCTCTACATTTATGCAGATCTTTCTTCCCATAATGTATTTTTAGTTTTCAGTGTATATCTTCCACTTCTGTTCATGAAATTATTTCTAAATATTACATTTTTTTGGGTGATATAAGTGGAATTCTTTCCTAATTTACTTTTTTATTGTGTTAAAACACAACACAGAAAATTTATCATTTTAAACATTCTTAAGTCTACAATCAGTGGCATTAAGCACATTCACAATGTTGTGCATCCATTACAACCATCAAACTCCAGGACATTTTCATCCTCCCAACTTGAAATTCTCCACATTTCCCCCTCTTGTCAGCTCCTGGCAACTACATTTCTGCTTTCTCTCTAGGAATTTGACGACTCTAGGTACCTCATAAAAGCAGAATCATCCAATATTTGTCCTATTGTGGCTGGCATGTTTTAGTTAGCATAAGGTCTTCAAGTTCCACCCATGTTGTAGCATATGTCAGAATTTCATTCCTTTATAAAGCTGAATAATATTCCATTGTATGTATACATCACATTTTGTTTCTGCATTTACCTATCAATGGACATTTGGGTGTTTCCACTTTTGGGCTATTCTGAATAATGCCGCTATGAACATAAGTGTACAAATATCTGTTTCAGTCTATGCTTTTAATACTTTGGGGTATATACCTAGATGTGGAATTGTAGGATATGGTAATTCTAAGTTTAATTTTTTGAGGAACCACCATACTATTTTCCACTGAGTCTGATTCATTTTATATTCCCACCAGCAATGTCCAGGGGGTCCAATTTCTCCACATCCTCATCAACACTTGATATTTTCTGAATTTTTTGGATAATAGCCGTCCTACCAGGTGTGAATTTATATCTTGTTATGGTTTTGACCTGAAATTCCCTAATAATTAGTGGTGTTGATCATTTTTTTCAGGTGCTTAATGGCCATCTGTGTATCCTCTTTGAATAAATATCTATTCAAGTTTTTTGCATATTTTTAATTGGGTTATTTGTTTCTTTGTTGTTGAGTTGTAGGAGTTCTTTACACATTCTGGATATAATCTTTCATCAGACTTATGATTTGCAAACGTTTTCTCCCATTCTGTGTGTTACCTTTTATTTGTTGATAGTATCCTTTGATGCACAACAGTTTTTAATTATGATGAATTCCAATTTATCTTTTTTCTTCTGTTGCTTGTGCTTTTGGTGTGATATCCAAGATATCATTTCCAAATCCCATGATATGAAGATTTCCACCTCTGTTTTATTCTGAGAATTTTATAGTTTTAGCTCCTACATTTAAATATTTGATCCATTTGGAATTAATTTTTGTATATAGTTAAAGTGTCCAACCTCGTTCTTTTGCATATTGATATTCTGTTATCCCAATACTACTTGTCGAAAGGCTGTCCTTTCCCCTATTGAATGGTCATGGCACCCTTATTGAAAATCATTAGACCATGTATGTGAGAATTTATTTCTTGGTTCCCCACTGTATTCCCCTGAAAAATTCCACTTTTCTTAATCTGTTGCCAAAAGTAATGTATCAACTTTCAAGAAGGTACAAAAGAGCCCTGGAGTCCATTTGTCTTTTTATTTTGGCTTCTATTGAGCACAACGAGAATTCAGAAATTTTCTTTTACCACTATAGTAATAAAGACAAGAATATTGATGGAGAAAGACATTTTATAATTTTTAATCAGACAAATGTAAAGAAACAGAGAGCAAAACTCTAGCCTGTAATGATGATGTTGAAATTGGTCATAGAATTGAAATCCCATAGTATGAGTCTTCTGACGATGACATCATAATTTTCTTCCAACTCAAGAATCAATGACTGAACAGATTATTTCTAATGACAGAAAAGAAATACGGTATTCTCATCCAGTTAGTCATACTTCAGCAAGCAATATTTTGTCACAAATATCTGGAACATTCTGTATTGTAAAGGAAATCTAAAATATATCCTTTCACCTTTTAGAACAAGTGGACATAAACATTTTTTGATATTGTTCACAAGTGGACAAATATGTATTCAAAATTTATTGGAAGGAGTTAGATGGCATAGGAGTGATAAACATTAGGGTTAATCATTTTAATTGGTGTTTATAAATACAAAATAAAAATACGTTTGATTATAGTACATCATTTACAATTGCTGTAAAGAAAAATAACAACTATGAAATAGAAAAATATGAAATAATAAAACACATACAGCCTGGTGAAAATTACAAGATTCTGATACAGGAAATCAAAGAAGACTTAAATAAATGGAGAGACATAATGTGTTCACAGACTGGAAGGTTCAATAATAAATAGTAAAGATGTAAAATCTTCCTAAATTGATCCTTAGGTTTAACATAACGTATCAAAGTCACAGGAAGACTTTTTTGTAAACATAGACAAGATTATTCTAAAATGTATAAGAAAAAGAGAGACTCTAGAATAGCCAAAACAATTTTGAAAAAGAAGAATAAAGTGGGAGGAATCACTTTTCTCAATGTTAAGATTACTGTACTGCTACAATAATCAAAACAGTGTAGCATTGGTGGAAAGAAGGACATGTAGATGAATGGAACAGAAAAGAGAACTGAGAAATATACCAACACAAAAATGTCCAATTAATTTTTGACAATGATGCAAAAACAATTCAACAGACAAGAAACAGGATTTTCAAAGAATTGTGCAGGAGAATTTGATATCCATTAATCAAAAAATTAATCTCTTACCCTTTATAAATTGTAACTCAAAATGGATCATGGACTTAAATGTAAAACATACAACCACATCTTTTAGGAATATCATAGCAGAAAGTCTTCAGGATTTAAGACTTATAAAGAGTTCATACACTTGACACCAAAAGCATCATCGAAAAAGGAAAAAGTAGACCTTATCAAAATAAGAATTAAAAAAAAGTTTTTGGTCTGAGAAAAAACCAATTACAGACTTGGAGAAAATACGTTCAAATTACATATCCAACAAAATACATGTATCTAAAAAACAAAAAATTTCTGAAAATTCAACTTTTAAAAAACAAAAAATCCAATTAGAAAATGGGCAAAAGATATAAACAGACTTTTCACTAAAGAAGATATGCAGATGCCAAATAAACACATTAAAGATATTCCACAACATTTCCCCTTAGGGAAGTGCAAATTAAAAACACAATGAGATATTAGTACAGACCTAATAGAATGGCTAAGAAAAAAACAAGTGGTATCATCAAACATCAGTGAGGATGCCAAAAACCTTGGTCATTCATATATTATTGGTGGGAATCTCAAATGTTACAGTGACTCTGAAAAATAGTTTGGCAGTCGCTTTTAAAACTATAAATAGCTTACCATCAACCCAGCAATTTCACTCTTGAGTGTGTTCCCAAGAGAATTAAAAATTTACTTTCATGCAGAATCTTCTACATGAATATTCATTGCAGATCTATTCATAATAGCTAAAAATTGGCAACCACTCAAATGTCCTTCAGTGGGTGAATAAAATTTTTTTTCTTTTTGGTGAGGCAGATTGTCCCTGAGCTAATAGCCATGCCAATCTTCCTCTGTTTGTATGTGGGATGCTGCCACAGCATGGCTCAATGAGTGGTGTGTGGGTCCACGCTCAGGATTCAAGCCTGAGAACCTGGGCTGCCAAAGCAGAGTGTGCAAACTTAACCACTATGCCACTCGACCAGCCCCTAAACAAGTTTTGATACAACCATACAAAGGAATACTAGACATAAATAAAAAGGAATGAAATATTCATACATGCAACAGCTTGGATGCAGTTCATGCAAATTATGCAAGAGAAAAAAGCCAATCTGAAAGAGATACAAGCTGTATGATTCCATTTATATAATATTCATAAAATAGCATAAGTAAAGAGATGGAAAGAAGTTTAGTAGTTGCCAGGAGTTAGGAATGGGGAAAGAGAGGACCAGTGTTGCTATATAAAGGGGTCATATTAGGGGCTACGTAGTGGTGATATAGTTCCGTGTGTTGACTGTGGTGGTGGTTACACAAATGTGAACCTGTGGTAAAATTGCACAGAATGAGATACACACACACAAATGAGTGCATGCATACTGGTGAAATCTCAATAAGGTCTGTGTATTTTACCAATGTCCATTTCCAGTGTCCACTGGTTCTGATATTCTACTATAGCATTGAAACATGTTAACATTGATGGAGGCTGAGTAAAATGTACACAGAACTTTACATTTCTTTGCATCTCTTTGTGAATCTATAATTATTTCAACATAAAAAGTTAAATAAAAATCACAATAGAAACCAAAAAAATGACGATATCAAGTGCTTCTGAAGTGTGGATCATCTGTATAGAGAAAATGGAACTCTCACAGATTAAGGAAGAGAAGGAAAAATGGTACAGCCACTTTGGAAAATAGTTCATCTGTTTCTTATAAAATTAAAAATACACTTACTAAACAAAAGAATCTGACTCGTAGGTATTTACCCACCAAAAATGAGAACGTGTATGTACTCAAAAGCCTATGTGCACGTGTTTCTAGCAGCTTTATTTATAATTGCCAAAATCTAGAAACAGCTCAAATACCTTTCAGTGGGTGAATGGATAAACAAACTATAATACATCTTTTTAACAGAAGGCTACCTAAGGGCCCGCCACAGTGGCCTAGTGGTTAAGTTCCATGCACACTGCTTTGGCAGCCCGGGTTACTGTGTATAAATTTTTTTAGAAAACCAAATATGCTAAATAAAAAATAACTATTGAGGGACCAACTGTCTAATATAGTTGCTGCCAGCCACAAGTGGCTATTTAAATTTACATTAAATAAAGTAAAATAAAAGGGAGATTTTAGTTCCCTAGTTGTCTTATCCACATGTCATGTGCTCAACAGCCACATACACAGTGGAGATGTTATGACATTTCTGTGAGTGCAAAAAGCTCTAGTGGAGCACACGATCTAATACTAACTTTCCACAAGCCGAAACCCATCATCAGTACTTCCTCCTGGTGACGATGGTGTTGGCTCACAAGATGGAGGAGCATATCCAGCCTCACAGTGACAACTAAGGAGAGTATTGCAAGCCTAAAACCAAAACCAAATAAAAAACAAGAACACTTTATATGCAACATAAAAATTAAATGCATTGTTTGTGATTGTCACTCTACATAAGTTATTAAAGTATTGTAGGTTAGTATATTATAGCTAGGTTTTTTTTTACTATGGAAAATAATTTTCAAAATAAAATATAATAAATGTCCATGCAATATCTTTTCAAATGTCATGGAGATTTCCTCTTATTATCTCTTGCATTTTTAAAATAAAATTACATAACATTCTTGATACAACTGAAATGACTTACTCTTGAAAGGCATAGAAATTATAAAATAGTGGAAGTTGAAATTTATTACAAATTGTGCTAAAATTTTAAAAAGTTACTTTGATAAGAGCCAATATTTACCAAAAATAGAGGGAAAACTAAAGCTTGTTTAATCAGACACAGATAGCAAAATTTATTTTGCTAAAAAATAGGAAGGCTAAAAAATATCTATAAATGTGATCTGGTATATGAATCACAGGGAAGATTGGAAGCAGAATAGAGAATCTAGAAATAGGTTAATGCAAAATTAAATTAAAATTGAATAAGAAGAGAAATAAATATAAAAGAAACTATAAATAATAGGATATGTGAGTGATTTAGGAAAAAATTTTGATACAATACACACAGGTCACTTTTTTTATGGATTACTAAAGAAAATATGAAGCACCAATATGGCAGGAGACACTAGCCACAAAGTAAAGTGAAAAGCACGTTTGGAAAAACTTACAAAGTTTATAAAATTTGTATAACCCAGTACTTTCACAATAGATGGACGAATAGAAATGCAAATGGCAAATAATGACCATACATACCTACTTAAGAATTGTACAATTAATTATGAAATAAATGTAAATTAACGATGGATTTAACATGTTAGAGGAGATTAAAAAGACTGAGAAGCTACCCTGCCAGAATTGGACGAAACGCACATTTTTATACATGACAGGTGGGAACAAACACTGGTATATTTCTTGAAGACAATATAATATTTATGAAAATTTAAATGGTGCATATATTTGACCCATCAGATTTCACTGCTAACAATTTAAGAAATCAAATAAATGTGCAAAAGTGAATGTAAAACAAAGTCCATTGCACCACTTTTTATAATAAGTAAAAGTTTTTAGAGTTTTTGTTTTTATGGTATATTTTCACAATCTTTTACTTCCATTACGTGCCATATTTTAGATACATCAGTTGTAAGCAGAACATGTGCATGCATGTGTGTTTGTCTTGCATGATAATCTCTGTCTTTGCTTTTAATGGATCTTTATCTTTGGTTTTTAATTGCAGTACTTTGTCCCTCTACATCTCTGGAGACTGAGACACTGGTGGGGGCCATTGTTCTGAGCTGGTACAGGCGTGCTGATACGGACACGGGTGGGGGCCACTGAGGTGCATCCCTTGGGCTGTTAGCCCAGGGGTCTGCCACACCCACTAGAGCACAGATTTAATCCAGTTCAGGCAGGGCAGGCAACCTGCCCTAGGACTGGCCCCACCTAACAGCAAGCCCTCAGGCTACTTTTCAGCCTGCATTGACTGAGTGCAAGGGTGTCTGCCTCTATGGGGCAGGGCTTGTGTGAGGACCAGGTGAACTGTGGGGGGCATTGGGGCAGAGGTGGGGGCCTCTGCAGTGTGGCGTTGGGGTACCCAATTAAGAGGACAATTGCAATAAGAGTGTGCTGATAGACTTTGTGGCCAACAGTGCTGAGGCCCCTCCAAACTGGATTTACAAACAGCTGCCCCTTTGTCCCTCTCTTCTCCTTCTGGGACACCTATAATCTGAATGTTAGCACACTTGACATTGTCCCAGAGTTCCCTTAGACTTTTCTCATTCTGTCTAATTCTTTTTTCCTTTTTCTGTTCTGCTTGGGTGATTTCCTCTAGTTTTTCATCTAGCTCACTCATCTGTTCTTCTGCTTCCTCTACTCTGCTGAGTCCCTCTAGTGAATTTCTCGTTTTCAGTATTGTATTCTTCATTTCTGATTGTTTTTTTTTTTAAATTATCTTCCAGTTCTCTGCTGATGTGCTCACTGTGTTCATCCATTCTTCTCCACATATCTGTGAGCATCCTCATGATATTTTGTTTGAACTCTTTGTTGAGTAGGTCACTTGTTTCTGTTTCATTTAGTCCTTTCTCTGAGGTTTTGTCCTGTTCCCTTGCTTAGAAAGTATTCCTTTGTCTCCTTATTGTGCCTCTTTCTCTGTGCTTATTTCTATGTATTAGGTGAGTCGGCTATGTCTCCTGATCTTGGAGAAGTGGCCTCATGTATGAGATGCCTTATGAGGCCCAGCAGTGTGCTTCCCCCTCCTCACCAGTCCAGAAGATCCAGGAGTGACCCCTTTGTGGGGTAGTTGTGTCCTTTTGCTGTGGCAGGGTTGCTCCCACTGCAGGTACCCAGGGAGTCTAATCTTTCCTTCCCTGGCCAGCTGTTTGTAAATCTGGTTTGTGGAGCCTCAGCACCCTTGGCTACAAAGTCTATCAGCACACTCCTATTGCAGTTTTCCTCTTAACTGGGTTGGTACCCAATGTAGCTGGTTGCTAGGCTCAGGGGCTTACAATTGCTAAATGCCTCAGGCCTACAAGGCTGTTGTCAGTTCTCTTAGGAGTGCAGCTGAGTGGGCCTGGCCCTAGGCACGGGAGCACTCAATTGTTTCAGGCTTTGGAAGGTGGGACTGATCCTTTTTATGGCTATTTGTGAAGCACAGGTCTTCTGCCACTGATAAGCCTCACCCCCCAGAGGACCAAATACACTGTCAACACAGTCCTGGTCCGTGTGCATTTCTCAACCCCCTGCAGCATACCCCGATGCTGTACTGCAGAGGCCCCAACCTCTCCACCAATGCCCCCCCACAATTCACCTGGTCCTCACACAGGCCCTGCCCCACAGAGGCAGACACCCTTGCCTGCCTGTAGAGAATCAAGGCACTCAGTCAATGCAGGCTGAAAAGTAGCCTGAGGGCTTGCTGTTAGGTGGGGCCAGTCCCTAGGGCTGGTTGCCTGCCCTTGCTGAACTGGACTAAATCTGTGCTCTAGTGGGCCTGGCAGACCCCTGGCCTAACACGCGAAGGGATGAACCTCAATGGTGCCCACTGGGTTCCATGTCAGCACTCCTGGGCCAGTTCAGAACAATGGCCCCCACCAATGTCTCAATCTCCAGAGAGGTCCCTCCTCTCACCAAGATGCCCCCAGAGCCCACCAAGTGAGTCTCGTTTCACCAAAGGACTGTCAGCCTTCTCTCTGGTGATTTTAGCTTGCTGCAATGAGTGAGTTTGTGCGTGGGCCTTTTAAGACCCAGGTCTTTTCAGCCTTTGGCCAACAGCTTTTCTGGGGGTATCCTCACTGCAGTTAACAGCCAGCAAAGCCAGACAGTAAGACCGCTGTCTCAGTTGGGCTGAGTCTGAAGGATGCTTATAGCAGTATTGCCCCTGTTCCGGACCTCACTCCTCCAGGGAGGGCTGCATACCTTAGGGTGGCTCCTGCCTGGCCAGCTGAGAAGCTCCGCTGCTCCCAAAGGTGGCTTTTTTCCCCTCCCGTAGGAATATCTGCCTCTTCTGCCTTAGTCAGGACTGTCCCTTGTTGTGGGTGTTCTTTTTAACCAGTTTTAATTTTTCTCCCCAGGGTAACTTTTCCAAAAATAGTTGTAACCTGGTTGTGTTCGTGGGCGGAGATGAGTTCTGAGTCTGCTTACGCCACCATGTTGATGAGATCTGTCTCCTATAATTTTTAATTGGTATATTTTCCTAGTGAATTGAACTTACTATCATTATGAACTAATATTCTACTTCTATCCAGTAATGCTTTTTTTCTTATCATCTACTTTAGCTATACCACCTTTAATTAGTATTTGCATGATACATAGTTTTACTTTCAATCTTCAGTTTTCTTGTTTGAAATATATTTCTATATATCTCAGCTTATATTTGGATTATTTTTCCATGCAGTATGATAAGCTTTGTCCTTTAATTGGATAATGTAGTCGATTAATGTATTTCTGACATTTTTGGATTCAATTTTTTCTATTTGTTCCAGGTAGTTTATATTTCTTTTTCTATCTTTACTTGTCCTCTAATAATTTAATAGCTCCTCTAATTCCATTTTTATGTTCATATTTTTAGTGATTACCTGGTAAATTACAACATACATACTTATCAAAGTCTAAAGTTAATCAACATCTTTTATCTTCTTCCGGGACAATACTGCTTCTTAAAAAAAAAAAAAAATTTATCTCCATTTACGCTCCTTCAACCTATATATTATCATATGTACAATTTAAGGTAATGTTAGATGCTGCTATAAACTAGCATCTAAAATCTTAGTTGTTTAATACACACACATAAAGCCCAGTGCAGATACTCCTGGGTAGTGGGTAGCCTTCCACATGCTCGTGTTGAAATACTTACATATTGTGCTCCTGTCCTTATTTACAGCCTTTCTATTAAGCTTACCAGCAGAAAGGCTCACACAGTTTTAACTGCTCCAACCAAGAAGTGACATACATTACTCCCATTCATATTATATGGCTTGATCTAAATATAACAAGGTCTGAGAAATGTGGTCCCTGAATTGGCACATGCTTTCCAGCCACAGCTGTAGATGGTGGTATCAGCCTATGACCCATTATTGTTACTTGTTTTAATTTAATCTTGTCTCTATTTTAATTTCATCAGACACCATTATTATTGATTCATACAGGCCATGTTCAAACAATTATTACTTTCATTACTCTTCATTCCCTCTGAATCGCAGATCTCCCATCTGGGATCACTTCCTTCTGCCTGAAGTATATTTATAATTTCCTTTGGTAATATTAAGGAAATATTACCAAATAACTGTTGGCATATAACTGGAGGCAAAGAAACAAAGAGGAAAAATGGAAAATAAGGTGATAGTGCTAATTCTAAAAATATCAATAATCACAAGAATGCACATAATTTAAACTGAAATTAATTAAAACACATTTTTATATTGAATAGGGAAAAACAGTTCCAGTTACATGCTGTTTAGAAGAAACACTCCTGAATTGGCAAGGATTATATGTAGCTGCATGAGACAGAAAACTCAAAATAATAATAACTAATAATAATAAGTTTATTTCTCTCTCACATGAAAGTAGCTTCTTGATCTTTAGGGACCTGGACTCTCCAGGTTCCTAGTCCATCATGCCTAGGTAATGACCTTGTCTTCACATGGCATTTTAAATAGCAGATTGGAGAAAGGCCACAATGAAGAATGGGTACCATGCCTTTAAAGAAGCTTCATGGAAGTTCCAAATATTATTTCTGCTTGCATCTCACTGGATGAAACTTAGAAAAATCTAGCTACAAGAAAAGCTAGGAAATGAAGACTTCTATATGAGCAGGAGTATGCATATCTGAAAACTGAGGTTTGTTTAAAAAGAAAAGGATCAAATAGAAACTGGAACAGGTATGTATAGAGATATTTATGAAATATTGTTTTTAATGGCAAAAATAGAAACAACCAAAATGCCCAAGAAAAGTGTAAAGGATACAGTGCAGCATATTCATATAATGAAACATGACACATCAGTGCAAAAAATTAACTAGACACAAAGGATTTTGAGGACAGTGAAACTACTCTGTATGATAGATCTAACTCTAAAATGTTAGATATATGTCATTATATATTTGTCAGAAGTCATAGAATGTACAACACCAAGAGTAAACTCTAATGTAAACTATGGACTTAGGGTAATTGGAATGTGTCACTGCAAGTTCATCATTTGTAACAAATGTACCACTCTGTGATGGGATGTTAATAGTAAGGGAGGCTATGCGTATGTGGGAGCAGGGGATATATGGGATATGTCCATGCTTTCCTCTCTATTTTGCTGTGAACCTAAAATTTATCTTTAAAAAAAAGTCTTAAAATAACTAAAATTTCATGTATCAGGATGGATAAATCTCAAAATTCTAAGTGGAAACAAAAAAATTCAAATTGCAGAATGACACAGTATGATACGATTTACATTATGTCTAAGGCATAAGAAACAATTCTTGTTTAGAGATATGTTCAATTGTTGCAAAAGTATAAGAGTTTTTAAACGAAATGTTTTGTAAAAGTATAAGTATAAAAGCTCTGAATTCATCTCCTCCAATGGTTCCATGCTACACCCTGCCTCAGTCACACATTCCTATGGCTCCCACCCTATGCCTTGTCAACAGACCTGTATCAATAAGTGCAACTCCTCCATCATCTCTGTAAAGTGCATCCCACATCCTGACCACCTACTTTCTTTCCTGATCACTCCTCTAGGACCCAACTGCAACAATCCATGTACCCACCAGCATATCCAAACCATGGTTCCTACATTTTCACTGTTCCTGACTTCCTTAGTGACTTCTCTCCTTCCTTAACCAGTTCAAATTCTCTTACAAACTGAGGAAGCTGAGGAAGCTGAGGAAGATTCACCCTGAGCTAACATCTCCTGCCAATCTTCCTCTTGTTGTATGTAAGCCACCAACACAGCATGGCCAGTGACAGACAAGTGGTGTAGCTCTGTGCCCAGGAACCAAGCCCAGGCCACCAAAGCAGAACGCACTAAACTTAATCACTTGGCCACCAGGGCTGGCCCTGGATAATTCTTAAATGTACAAATATTTTAAATAAAAAGATTACATAATTACATACCAAAGCAATTCCTGCAGAATAATGGGTAATGCACATCTTTCCAGGAAACGCTGCTCCCACATAATCTGGATAATCTTTATAGCTAAATAAATAGGTATACGTGTATAATTAATTTTGACAAACAATTCAAAGGAGAGAAATTCCAGTAATAATTTATCTGTAGTTCATAAAATCCTAATCTAAGGCAAATTGGGGTATGATCTTTCCATATGTCCTTAATTGTTTTGATTTTGGAAGATAGTCTTCATTAAATGAGATTAAGCACTCGGGATTTCTAAAACACACCCCACAGATCCAAGTTTTTGATGGCTTTACTGTTCTCATCACATTTGGTTAGGATTGCCAAAGATTTTGACCAAATATTTTGATCAAAAGCATTATGTTGAGTGGCAATGAAAAAGTTTTAATGCATGGATTAAAAAATTTCCTTCTCATGTAAAAAAGCTCACCAGTTTCTCATAGGAATGACTTTATTGTTCTACAACTTAACATTATTATTTTGAGCAAGGGCCCAAATAAATTGTTATATAATAACAGCACTGTTCTCAGAGATATACATAAATTATTCCATTTACTCCTCAAATCAAGCCAGTGAAAAAGATGTTATTTTTATCCCCATTGAACAAATCAAACATCAGATGGAAACTATAAATAACTTTCTCAAGGTAGCATGATTAATAAGTGCTACTGATGAATTTGAACTTGGGCAATCTGAATCCAGAGCCATACTCTCAATCACTAAGGTATAGACACTCCCAACATATTCTGCCATCTTAGAGCCCCCACCAAAACAAACATTCCAGAATGTGTGTAAAGAAGCTTGGTATTCAATTCTCAATTCGAAATGCTCCTTTGGTCTCAACTGCACTTCAGTTCACAATTGCACTGTGTCCTCTCTGCTGCCTTTACTCTGGCTCTCTGATATAGTTTATACCTAACCCTTCCAGCACTTGTTTCCAAGTGTTTGCTCTCAACACCCAACTCTGGCTTTCTAATTCAATGTCTAAGTATTGTTTACACTCTTCCTTCATCCAAGAGACTTCTCCCAATAGATAAGACTTTCCCTAAAACTCTAGGCATACTCCTAATAAGCTGGACTCAGTAATAGTTATTTTTTACTTAATACTGCCCACCCAGTCTCCACATCAAATCAGTTGTCAAGATCTACCGTTTCACTTCTTCCATGTTTCTTGTATCCTTTCCCTCATTCAAAGTTCGGCTCTAGTTCTAACTATGAATTCCATATTCTTTGAAAAGAACTACAAAATTATTTAGTCTCATGCCTCTAAGCACATTGTTTCCATAACCTGGAACGCCTTCCATATCCCTTCTCTGAATTTAAACATACCTAAACTCTGCATTCCCACTTTTAATTTAATTAGTACTTGTTTAATTTGGGCTTTTCATTATACATGACTTTGAGTCAATCTCTCTCTCTCTCTTGCTCTCACTCTCATTCTTTTTTCTCCTGTCAACTATAAACAAGTAGAGATAATGCACTAACATTCATCTGTGGAGTAACATCAGCAAGGTAGTAGAAGGGGTGTTTTCAGCCCTCATCTCCCCACAGAAATGATTTTGACAACTACCCACGGATAAGAGTACTTTCTGGGAGTGCAAGAGTCCAGAGGAGAAGTCCCAGCACCTCATTGGAGGGAAAATCCAAGAATAGATACAATGGAGGAGGAAAGAACAGTTTCACTTTACCCCAAGGCACTAAAGCTCAGTGCTAAGAGAGACACCCTGAGCCATGATTTCTCAGGGGAAGATGAGAGCATAGTGAGTGCCTCCAGCCATGTGGGATTCTGCACAAGAGGCCCACTTCTTAAGTGTCCATTGACAGATGAATGGATAGAAAAAATGTGATATATATATATACAATGGAATATTATTCAGCCTTAAAAAGGAAGGAAATTCTGCCATTTGCAACGTAGATTAAATTTGGAGGAGATTATGTTAAGTGAAATAAACCAGACATAAAGACAAATACTGTATGATCTCACCTAAGTGAAATCTAAAATAGTCCAACTCATGAAAACAGAGAGAAGAATGCTGGTTGCCAGGGGTTAGGGGATGGAGGAAATAGGAAGATGTTGCTCAAAGGGTACAAAGTTTCTGTTCTGTAGGACGAGTAAGTCCTGGAGATGTAATGTACAGCATGGTGACTATAGTTAATAATACTGTATCGCAAATTTGAAATTTAGTAAGAGAGTAGATCTTAAGTGTTGTCACCACAAACACAAAAAGATGGTAACTATGTAAGGTGACAGGTATGTTAATTAGCCTTACTATGGTAATCATTTCACAATGTATACATACATTAAAACATCACACTGTACACTTCAAATATATACAATCTTTATTTGACAATTTTAATTCAATAAAGGTTGTAAAAAAAATAAGAAAAATAAAGGTGAGGGAACTGAGGCAGAGGTGGCATTTGCCCTAGGTGACAGAGCTAAGTTAAGGCAGGCAGTTGGCCTCCAGAGCTTAAATTCTGAATCACTATACTATACTATCTCAATAAACATTTGCTGTAAAATGTTTAAAAGAACTTAAACTTGCAATGTTCATAGTACCTACTGTATGACTTACTCATACCAGATTATAAGCTTCTGGAATACAGAGACCATAGAAAATTATAATTAATTATTGTATTTTAATAGTACCTATTCTAGGACCTTACTCATTGTAGATATGCAAAATATGTTGCTGCAGTAAAATAATACCAAGATACCAAGGAGTATTACTGAAGTTCTAGGATGCTGATTGTACCCTAATTTCTCCATTTCTAATGGGATAAATTCTCTTTCAGCAATCTCACTTATTAATGGAATCAAAGTTCAATGTTCTATTAAAAAAATAATACATCATGCCAAAGTGATGTTTCTTCTAGGAATGCGAGGACAGTTCAAGGTTGGGAAATATATTAATATAATTATTTGTTTTAAGAGAGCTAAGGAGAATATCTTATATCATCCCTATAAAAGCTGAAAGATTATTTTTCAAACTGTTTGTATAACGTGGATCTATGGCTACTGCCTTAATATTATACACACACAAAGATATGGGCACCCATGTGCACGTGCACACACACACATACACACACAAACACACATTTTAGCCCAAAAAGCTAAAAAGCATACTACTGAACAAGGTAATATTCCCACTAAAGTAAAGAAGAGAACAGACATGACCCATGTTACCATTATTACCACTACTATTTAACATTGTATTAAATTAGCCAAAGCAGTAAGATTAGAGAAAGAAACTGAAAATACAAAATTAGGAAAAAAAGAGATAAAACTACTTGTACTTATAGATGGTATGACCGTATGCATGAAAAACCAAGGTAATAAACTTAACTATTAAAAACAATAAATTTAGTAAGGCAGTAGGATATAAAACAAATACAGGCATACCTCAGAGATATTGCAGATTCAGTTCAAGACCACCACAATAAACTGGATACCACAATAAAGCAAGTCACAAGATATTTTTTGTTTCTCAGTGAGTATAAAAATTACGTTTACACTATACTGTAGTCTATGAAGTGTGCAATAGCATTATGTCTAAAAGAATGTAACATACATTAATTTAAAAATACTTTATTGCTAAAAAATGCTACCCATCACCTGAGGCTTCAGTGAGTTTTAATCTTTTTGCTGGTGGAAAGTGTTGTAAAAAATACAGTTATCTGAGAAGCACAATAAAGCAAGGAGCAATAAAATGAGGTATGCCTGTATATGAAAATTAAGTAATTTTTATACATAAAAACAACATCTTGTTAGTAGACAGCTGACCCACTTATAACAGCAACCAGAAAGATAAAAAACCTAGGAAAAGTTATCAATAAATTCATAAAACCTATAGAGAGAAACTAACTTCTGAAGGACAAAACAAGTAGAAAAACATGATATATGTGTGATTTGAAGACAACAATTCTCCATAAATTGATTCATAAATTTAACGTAGTCCTAATAAAAATACCATCATTTTTCAGAAGCTGGACAGGTTGATTCTAAAATTTCCATGGAAAATAAATTTAAAACTTCCTTTATAACCATGAAGTGGGAAGGCCTTTTTAATTATGACTCAAACTCCAGAAATCATCAAATAAAAAACCGAATCAATTCTGCATCATGAAAATATAAATATTTTGTATGGCAGTTTAAAAATACACACACAAAAAGCCAAGTCAAAAGACAAATTACCAATTGGGAAAGAAAACTACTTCTCATTGCAAGGGAAGGAAATTTATTTATCTTTATGTCTATATCTATCTATCTACCTGCCTATCTACCTGCCTATCTATCTATCTATCTATCTATCTATCTGTCTGTCTGTCTATATGTCTCATAAAGAAGAAATTAAAATGAAAACTATGCCAAGGTACCACTTCTCACATACCACACAGGTAAAAACCCAAACTTTGACCATACACTTTGTTGGCAAGACTGTGGGGACAGAGACCCTCTCATACATTATTGATGGGTATGCAAAGTGCTAAAATCCGGTATTAGCTATCAATATTATAGTTACACTACCCAGTAATCTCATTGCTGGGAATTTACCTTCCAGACACATATGTACATATATAAAATGACACATATATGAAGTTTTTTTACTGTAAGATTCTTTATAACAATAAAATATTGGAAGTAAGCTAAGTGCTCATTATTAGGGAACTAGATAAATAAACTACACACAATCACATGATGATTTCTAGCCCCTATCATATAGTGGTTAAAAATAAGAAAGAGCTTTATGTTCTTATATGAAGAAGACTCTCAAATATTAAGCAACAAGGCAAGGGCAAAATAAGAGTCATATGACAAGCATCATTTTGTTTAAGGAGACACAATAAGAATAAATAAATATGAATAAATTATATTTGCACAAAGACCAATAAAAGAATACACAAGTTACTAATAAAAATGATTTGAGTCCCTGAACCAAGAAGCAAAGGATGGAGGTGGGAGTGTGAAAGGGAAAATTTTCTGTAAAGATGGTTACATTAGTGTTAACTGCTTGCTATGTTGAGAACACTGTTATTTCAGGGAATGGATGTGACAGCCATTC